CCATACAGTTTATAAGTGATATAAGCATCTGAGTGATTATTTTATATGTGGATTGTGGGACTGTGGGGCTTGGTGGAACCTGGAGAGAAGCCCTCCAGCAACATGAATCCAGTAGTTTGGTGGTGTAGTTGGTTTTTGGTTGTTTTTGTTTTTGTTTTTAACTCTTTGGGGACCTGCCACCTGACTCCCAAATAAATACACAGAGACTTATTCTTACTTATGAATGCCCAGCCTTAGTTTGGCTTATTTCTAGCCAGCTTTTCTAACTTAAATTATCTCATCTACCTTTTGCCTCTGGGCTTTTATCTTTCTCTATTCTATATAACTTTCTTCACTTTTTACTCCATGACTTGCTGTGTAGCTGGGTAGCTGACTCCTGCTGCTGGGAATGTCTTTCTGCATGCTGTGAATGTGTTGCTCTGGTTGATTGATAAATAAAACACTGATTGGCCAGTAGCCAGGCAGGAAGTATAGTATAGGCAGGATAAGGAGAGAGGAAAATGCTGGGAAGTGGAAGGCTGAGTCAGGAAATGCTGCCTGCCACCAGGATGAGAAGCAAGATGTAAAGTAAAGGTAAGCCACAAGCCATGTGGCAACTTATAGATTAATAGAAATGGGTTAATTTAAGATGTAAGAACTAGATAACAAGAAGCCTGCCACAGCCATACACTTTATAAGTAATATAAGTCTCTGTGTGTTTACTTGGATCTGAGCGGCTGCAGGAGCCAGGTGGACACAGGAAGCCATCAACTACATCCTGGTGTCCTCTTCTCCTTTTGCTCTTTTCTCTTTTCTTTTAATCCTTTATTTATTCTCTCTGCCTGCCAGCCCCGACTATCCCTCTCCTGCCTAGCCATTTATCTCTTTATTAGACCAATCAGGTGTTTTATATAGGTGAAGTAACACAGCTTCACAGAGTTAAAAGAAATGCAACATAAAAGAATGCAACATATCTTTATATCATTCAACAAATATTCCACAGCATAAACAAATGTAACACATCTTAAATTAATATTCCACAACATACCTGGTAGTTCAGCTTTCCAAGCTCTGCTGAGTTTTCTGACATCTTACTGGCATAATCCAGTTGCTATACCTCAAACAATATAAGTAAATCAAACCTGAAATTCCCTATGCCAGTTTGTCAGGAATGATATAACAAAGAAGCCAGAACTGACTCTAATCAAGGGAGTATTACTAACAAGTATCATGGTATAATCTATGGAGCAGAGACTTTTTATGTGACTTCAAATAACAACACAATGTATCAAATATATTTGTATTTAAATATAAAAAACACAATATACTTTTCACCATCAATTTTATCCACTAGCCATTCATTAATATGACTCCATAAGAAAGTTGTTGGTTTCAAGTAACAGCAAACTCAGCACAGTGACTAAAGTAATAAAGAGAATGTGGTTCATTTAAATGACAGACCATAAAGTAGAAGAGACTCTAGGCATGAATAAAATATAATCAGTCAGCATGTCAGTCCTGCTGTGATCCTTCAGGCTGTCTCCTTTTCTCTGTGCCCTTCTCATCTGTAGGTAAACTTTATTAATACACAAATCAACTTCATACTAGTAGTCCAGCCCATGTGAAACAAAAGATGGTGATTTTCCCAGCGTTTCAATCTATCTGATTTTTCTATATTTGGTCATATGAAAATTCCTGAACCAACCCCTTTGGCCAAAGAGTGTATTGTTCCAATTGCCTTGCTTTAAGTTATACTTGTTTGCTTTTGTTTCCTAGAGCTAATGAGTAGAGTTATTATTGTCCCAGAAAACATGTGAGAAGCAAAGGAGAATTCAGAGGCAATTGAATGATGACTGTGGCAGCAACCTAAAACATCAAGTAAATGGGTGGCAGGCGGGCAACAAAGAATCAACTGTGCCTTTGATTTGTTTAAGCAATCAGTAAATGTTTTTGTGATGAAAAGAATAGAGCTCTCTTGGTGGTTGTCTTTTCACTAAAGCATCAGTTTGAAGGACTCTGCACACATGAACATCCTTGCACAACAGCGAGAAGAAATGGACTGAAGAAGTTAGGAAGGATAGTTTCTTGTTAGCCTTCCTATCTTAGTGCCAAACACAAGAAACGCAGCAAGAACGGATTGTCAAATGGTAGCAGTGAGTGTGGTCGAAGGACATATGATCAAAGTTAAATTATTAGAGTAAAATAACCTATAAAATGTCATTTGAAAGACTCAAGGTGCCCAAATATTATAGTGGATACATAAGAAATAAAAAACAGCTGAGTGTAATGGCTCACACCTTTGATCCCAGAACTTGGAAGACAAGGGCAGGCAGATATTTGTAAATTCCAGGGCAGCTAAGACTGTTGCATAGAGAAACCCTGTCTCAAAAAGCAAACAAACAAATAACAACAGCAAAAAAACCCAACCAAACAAATAAACAGAATTAAAACTGAAGCTGGGTGTTGATGGTATATACCCATAATTTTAGCATTAGGGAGGGTGATTCCAGAGAATTTCCATGTATTGTTTTGAATAAAAATGGTCCCCATAGACTCATGTGTTTGAATTGTTTGAATGCTTGGCCCATAGGGAATGGCACTATTAGGATGTGTGGCCTTGTTGGAGGAAGTGTGTCACTGTGGAGGAGGGCTTTGGGATTTCTTATGTTCAAACTATGTCCAGTGTAACACAGTCTCCTTTTGCTGCTTGTGGATCAAGATATACAACTCTCAGCTCCTTCTCTAGCACCATGTCTACCTGCATGCTGCCATGCTTCCTGTCATGATGACAATGGACTAAACCTCTGAAACTGTAAGCCAGCCTCAATTAAATGTTTTCCTTTATGAGAGTTCATGGTCATGGTGTCTCCTCACAACAATGAAACCCTAACTAAGACACCTGGGATATATACTGACTTCAAGGCTAGTCTCACCACATTGTGGGTTTCTGTCAAAAGAAAAAAAATTAAAAATAACAGTGATAGTAATAATACTAAATAGGTAAATAAATAAATAACACACCACTGGAAAAAATCACTTAACCACACACACAAAAATAAGACAGAGACAGAGGAGGAGAGAAACAAAAGGTTTCTAAATACTGCAGAAAAACTATTAATACATGTAAGTACTAAATATTTATCTATTGATAATCACTTTGAATGCCAAATAAACTAAATTCTTCAATCAAAAGTCATATATTGGCAGAATGGCTTGGATTTTTTTTTGAAGTTTTTTTCTTTAATTAAATTTTTACATTTATTTTACATACTGACTGCCACAGTTTCCACTCCCTCTTCTCCTCACATTCTCCTCTCACCCCTGCTTCCCTTTTATCCCCAACCCCTCCACTTCTCCTCTGTCTCCATTCAGAAAGGGGCAGGTCTCCCATGGGAGTCAACAAAGCATGGCACATCAAGCTGAGGCAGGACCAGGCTCCTGCCCCTGCATTAAGGCTGGGCAAGGCAACCCAGCCTGGGGAATATGTTCCCCAAAGCCAGCTCAAGTGCCAGGAAGAGGTCCTGATCCTACTGCTGGGAGCCCCACAAACAGACCAAGCTATGCAACTGGCACCCACATGCAGAGGGCCTAGGTGGGTCCCATGCAGGCTCCTTAGCTTCAACAGAAGTTTTTTTTTTTTTTTTTAATAAAATTTATTTATTTTATATTTTTCAAATCATATATCTTGATCCCATTCATTCCCAATCTCTTCGCATAGGCCCTCCACTCACAACCCCTCCTCCCATAAAACAAAATTCAAGAGAAAAAAATTGAAGAAAATAAAATGAGAAAAATTTTTAAAAAGGGAAAGGGGATTAAAAAATCTCATGGAAGCTACAGTGCTACCCAACAAGTCATGTTGTATACCCCTTGGTCCCTACATCTCTATTTGCAAGTGTTTATTGCAAAGAGTCACTGGTCTGGTTCAAGGTCCCTGGTCTCCACTACACATTCGATGCTGGGCCCCCACTAGGACTCTTTCTGGACATCCTGGGGGTGCCCTGTGTTGTGGAGATCCTGAAGCTTTGGGTCTACAGTTCAGGTCCCATCATGTGCTCCAGCAGATCATTGATGGGGTAGATGCTGGAGTCGGCTAAATCATAACCCTGGTCTGGGCCTGGGCAGCTGTAGAGTTGGTCATTGGCTTGAAATTTTTAAAGACTCAGCGGTGTGCTAACCACAAGAGTCTCCTTGTTGGGGAGAACACATAAGTAGAAAGAAAAGGGTATTACGATTAAAGTGAAAACCAAGGAGTAGAGAGATAGTTATATTTGTAGCAAAACAGATATTTTGAAGTAAAAGTTTTGAGAAAGAGACCCAGAAGTCATTGTGTTACATAATGAGGAATGAGTCAATTCAGGAAGAAGAGAGAATATGTATGCATATGCATGCACCCAACATTGAAGAACTTAATTGAATATACCAATCAAATATTCATGGATATGACAAGAAAGAGCACAGTACAGTTATAGCAGAGAAAACATCAACACTTCACATTCAGCAATGGACAGATCACCTGGATAGAAATTTAGTGAAAGTCTTTTAGGCTTGAACTAAACTCTAGACTCAATGGCCCCCAACATATAACTAGCAGGTAAAGAATGCAGATTCTTATCAATTCCATAGGATATTCTTCAAACTGAAGAAGACTAAAAGTCTGTTAAGCATCTTTATTTACCACAATGAGGTACATACCATTAAGTAAAGATTCTTTAGACAATCTGTAAATACATGGAAATTAACCAACACACCGCAGAAATACCAGGAGCCTGGTGTATAAAGAAATTAAAAGGGAAATTTAAAATATAAACAAATGAAAATAGGACCACAACACATAAAAAAAAACTATGAGACAGAGAAAACACAGTTCTTTTATGTGCATTGATGTTTTGCCTGCCTGTATGTCTGTGTAAGGGTGCCAGATCCCCTGAAACCTCAGTTACAGACAGCTGTGAGCTGCCATGTGTGTGCTGGGAATTGAACCTGAGGGTCATACTGATGTGAGTGGCCTGTATTGTCACCTGCAGCCATGGTGACGTCTGGATCTATGCTGCTACCAAGGGCCATGTCTCGGTCCCGGGTTCTACTGCAGCCAAGGTCTGCATTGATATCCAAGGTCCATGTTACCACTGAAGGCCATGGCCTGTTCTGTAGCCTGAAGCCATGCTGATGTCCATGGGCTGTGCTGCCTCCTGAGCCCATATTGATGTGAGTGGCCTGTGCTATGATCTGAGGCCAAGTTGATGTCCATGGTCTGGACTGCCTCTGAGGGCCTTGTCTGTATTCTACTGCAGCTGGGGTTTGTGGTGTCACCAGAAAACATGTAGAAGTCCATGAACCATGCTCCCGCTGACTATAAAGAGCAGGGGAGCTACTTTTGCAGTGACATCAATGATTGCAGGCACAGTTGAGAATGAGGAACATGGCAGGCTTCTGTGACAACCCCTATTCCATTGCATCCCCCTCCCTCCAAAAAAGATGGGTAACAGCTTAAACAGGAAGCCATACAAGAGAACTCTCAGAAAGTGTGGTAAGGATGCTGAGGTTGGCTCTCCTAATTGATGACTTCTGGTGGGAATTCGGAAGGGGAACGACTCAGTTCTACTTAAGGGGCAGGCCCCGGAGAGATTGACCATGCTCCAGGGAGTGTATGGATAACACATATTGGAGTTTTGTTTGTTTTTAATTTTAATTTTTTTCAGGGGTGAAGGTCACAAGGGAGGAGGAGACAAACATGAAAGGACTGGGAAATGAGTGTGATTGGGATGCATGATGTGAAATTCCCCAAGAGTCAATAAAAATATACAAAAAAAGAAAAAAAGAAAAAGAAAATAAGAAACAGTTGTTGTGAAGGGGAAGTTTATAGAAATAAATACCTACATCAAAAGGACAAAAGACCTCTATTAAACAACATGCTGTTGTATCTTAAGTAACCAGGAAAAAAAGAACAAAATAAATTAAAAATCAATAAGATGAAGGAAGTAAAACAATCAGATAGAAGTAAAAGTGGAGATTCATAAATTAATTTCAAAAAATCAATTAAGAGTAGGGATTGGATTTTAGAACAATTCACAAAGTTAATAAAAATGTAGCTGGTTTTAGACAAAAAAAGAGGAGAGAAATAGAAATACAAAGAGAGATAACTCAAATAAAATCAGAAATGACTAAAGGACACACTAAACTGATGCAACAGAAATACAAGATCATAAGGGACTATTATCAGCAATTATACATCAGTAAGCTAGATGCCTTAAAAAAAAGATGAAATGCCTAAGTATATAGAATTTACCAATACTGAATTATGAAAAAAATAGAAAATCCAAGGAGGTTAAGAAAGAGAAATCTTCTATAAAGCAAATGGAAGAATCAAGAAACTCAAAAGTCAAACTGTGGAATGAAAGGGAAAATTTGCACACTGTAGATCAGTAGAGTTAATATCTAAGACTTGTAAAATCTCAAGCTCAGTCGTAGGAGTTCATCTAATTAAGAAAATTGCATAGCACCTGCATAGGCTTATCTCAGAAGATGAAAAACAGCCAGTAATCATAAGAAAAGATGTATAACACGGCACCCCCAACCTGTTAAAAATGGCTATTATGGAAAAGTCAAAAGATAGTGCTATTAGAATATGGAGATAATTTTTGCACTCTTGATGGAAACATAAATTAGTAAAGCTATTATGAAAGCAGTATGGACATTTCTTAAGCTTGAAGTAAAAATGCTATAGGATTCAGCAATCCCACTACTAGGTATATGTCCAATGGAAATAAAACCAAGATGACCAAGAGAATTTTATACCACTGTGTTTAATGTAGCATTGTTCACAATGCCCAAGATATAGAATCAGTCGTGTGGGTAGAGAAAACGTGAATATCTCTTCAGTAGAATGTTTTTCGGTCTTAAGGAGATCCTTCCATTTGCTATGATGTGGATGGTGCTGGTGGACATTGTGCTGAGTAGAAAGGAGCAAGCACACACACACAAAGTTATCACATGATTTTACTCATAGACAGAATGACAGCTCCTAGAAACTGGCATGTTTAAGGTAGGAGAGTTTAGAGAAATAGAAAAGAGATAAAAATACAGGTAGGTGAAATCAAAGATCACTTATAAACTAAGGTGATTATAGTTAATAAAAATATTCTTGAAAAATTGTAAGGGCGAACCTTTAAATGTATTCATCACACCACGTAGAAACTCTATAAGGTATAAAAGAGGATAATTATCTGGACGTGGTCATTTCATAATGTGCACACTTCAAAATACCTTGTTGCACATGATAAATAAAAATTTACCTGTCAATTTTTAAAGAAGAAGAATAAAAAGAAATTTGCATCTGAACTACAAATTTCTCCACTGCTTCTGACTTTCTTAGTTATCACAAGTCCATTTTGTGATGACTATTATTTCATGGTTGGTGCACGTGTAATAAGATTAAGGAAAATTTCTTTACCATCAACAAATTGTTCGAACATGTCATCACTGTGACTACTTTTTATAATAAAAAGCCTTAATAATAGTAAAATGTTACTGAATAAATTAGCCAAGACAAGATCGCAGCAACTTCAAAAATATTATATATTACCACTACTATAAATAAGTTTGTGACAGTGAGGTACAGATTAGCCTCTTTGCAGATTTGAAAACAAAACAAACAAAGTAGCAAGTTATCAGGAACCAAAATAAAAGATCCCAAAACCGGACTGCAGGGGACAAGAACAGAACATCCCAAAATATGACTGTAGGGAGCAGAATCTGAACTCCATATCTGCCTTTTGCGTAAGTATTATTTTGAGCTGATTATTTTAAGAAACAACATACTAAGGAGAAACTTTGAGAAGAGAATGTATCCATCCTTCAGAAGGGAAATAATTTGCAGTTGTAAAGGAAATCATCAGTTGTAAAAGCATCTTTCTGAGTACCAAGACAAGAGGTTGACCAAGTTTAAGCTGCAAACATTTCCACCCACCAAGCTGTATTAGTGGTCCTAGAGATGCTTCTTGGTACAGAAAGCACTGCGTTGAATTTGCAGAACAAAACTTACTCTTGTGCACATACTTCTTGTTACTTTTACAAACTAAGTATTCCCTACTTCTTTTTTTCTATTACTTAAAGTGGTATTTTTAAATTAAACTTTATTATTGAAAAGTTCAAATAAAAAATTACATATGGAAATTAGTGAGACACAAAGACTCTACAACTCAATGAATTTCTATACAGTTAGAGCAGTACATTACATTTTGTATGTTCTGATAATATTGCTCATCTTACTACCGAGTGTAACTACACATACCTTGTTGGGGTTATTATGGTGATTAGATATAATATATCTAAACCTTTGAAGAGTATGTTACTATTATTACTCAGAAAATACTAAAGAAAAAACTAAGAAGTATCCTATGTTTTTGACATCAAAAATTGAGTTGGCTTTCTGCCTGTAGATACAATGTAACCAGCTTGTTTATGTTCCTATTGCCAGGACTTCCCTACCATAATAGACTGTACCTCCAAACTATGAGCCGAATTAAACTTTTCTTTTCTTAAATTACTTTTGGCGGGCGTTTTACTGCACCAATGGGAAAATGACAAATGTAGTCACTGTTTGTATTTTCCTCACTATAAAAGCCTTTTACCTAAGTCCCCAATATGGAGTTTGTGTTCAATACGTTTCTGTCTTCCCAGTCTTTTAATAAACACAATTCCTACCAATTCTAGTTCCTGACATATTGGCCATCAATCAGTGAGGGTTCCTGGCCTTCACCTGGGAACATGATAAGGTCATGAATGAAATTAAGTAAGTAAGTTCTTGCACATGAGCAGGAGTTCATTCCCATCTTTACAGGACTTAAAGTCAAGACTCTTTAAGAACAGGTAAAACATGCTCAGGAACCTTAGGGAGAGTATGTGTAATTTATAATATAAAGTTGGCCAGATTTAGTCATGCATGACTGTATTTCCCACACTCAAGTGGCTCAGGCAGTTTGGTTGCAGACTTGAGGCCATACTGGACCATGCAGCATATATACATATATACACATAGAAATATAGATATATCACATCACATATATATGCCACATACATACACACACACATATATATATATATATATATCATATCAAAATCACCTTTGATGATGAAATTAGTGAGTGAAATTGGTTAGAAGAAGAGGAGGAGAAAAAAGAAAAAGAAGTTGCTGTTGCTAAGACAAGCATTCTAGGAAAATATACTAAACCACAATGAGCCTTGTTCGAAACAAAACTAGGCAAGCACATAAGAAAAGAAGGAAAAAAAAGGGATTCATCTTATCTTTGAAGAAAGAATTGTCTTGGAAATAGTTTAAAGAGTGCTCTGTAATTTCAAGTTATCCATCATGAATTAACACAGGCTTGCTTTTGTCTTTGGGTAATGAAGATTCCAGGGCAATACTGACTAGAAAAAGCCAGAAGACACTGCAAAACTTCCTAGTTCTGAATGGAAATTATATGCAAACTAGGCTGCCACAGTATATGTCCATTGAGACAGACAGACAACACATCAGGCAAAGCATATTTAACTCACAGACATGCAGCAACAAGAATAATCAGATGCTTAAGATCCCCAGCCAACCCAATTAGTAGCCCAAGGCCAAGGCAAGATGTACAGGATAGGTGGATACTTTTCTGTGCATACTTTGTTTCACACCACAGCTGAAACCACTCTGTCCAGGGTTTTATAGTCTAGACATCACTGGGATCACTGAATAGCCTTCACCGAAAAAAATTTGAACACATCATATACTGTTGCAGATATTCCCTCCTTTTTCCAGGATATTGCATTCCTGATTTATTTGCCCAAGAATTGCAAGCAAACAGAAGTCCTAGATCAGCCAAGGTAACCTGGGAGCTTTCTTCTTGCAAACTCCTGCTCCGAAGTCCCACTCTGCACTCTGCATGCTTAAGCCTACGAGGCATTGAACATATCTGCTTAAGGTTATCTTTGGTGGGGACAAAATCACAACTGTTGCTTTGTTCCTTTCTGTCTGCTATAAACATCATATATGAGGTGGTGTATAAATGATGAATACTGGTTTTAGAGGCTAGCAACTTGAGGATCAAACAGCCAGGTGTTTTTAGATTCGGTGCCTTGTGGGGCTCATTTTCTCATAGATGGCGTCATCTTGCTATCTCTTTATGTGGTAGAAGGTGTAAATAAGCTCCTGTACA